AGTTCAACTCCATGCTACACAATGAATTGCACACCTAATCTCTTCCTCTGGAATCATGTCCCCACTCTTGTGCAGTAAGCTCTTTGGGAGTAAGGACTGTCTCTTACAGTGTAGCTGCATGATGCCTACCACAATGGGGCCCCAATCTTGTTTGGGGCCTTAAGGCACAACAGTAATACAGTTGATAAAAATAAGTAGTATTTGCAACTCCATGCTACACAATGAATTGCACACCTAATCTCTTCCTCTGGAATCATGTCCCCACTCTTGTGCAGTAAGCTCTTTGGGAGTAAGGACTGTCTCTTACAGTGTAGCTGCATGATGCCTACCACAATGGGGCCCCAATCTTGTTTGGGGCCTTAAGGCACAACAGTAATACAGTTGATAAAAATAAGTAGTATTTGGCAACACTGGGTTCTCTCATCTCAGCCTACCCAGAAACTAACTCAGTAAAATGTTTGATTATCATGAAAACACCTTTCACTAAAATGAGAAAACAAAAACTGATAAGTCTCTAGCTTAGAAAGAAATTGAAAGTAGTAGAAAAAGCATGCCCAGATTGATATGATTCTGGTAACAAATTACTTCATTCAAAATAATAAAGGGTGAGGAAAGCAAATTACAAAAATATTCAAAAAAAACACTGGTAGACCAAGTATGGAAACGGAAAGATTTTTCTATTTTTCTAACAATACTTCAAAGTTTTCAGAGCAGGGTCAAGTATCATTATGAATGTTCCCTTCCAGTGCTTGAATTCTTTCATTCATATGAATCTGCCAAGTGTATTTTCCAAAACATCTTGAGGGTAGAAAATAAACATTGTAAAAATTAATTCTATGTCTTTGGGCTATTCACCTGTTTTCTTCATGGAATAAAGTGTTATTCTGGTAAAGTTATGAAATGGTTATCAAATGAAAATGCTTTCTTGGCACCATTGTTATTTTTATTTGAAATCTACAAAGTAACATGTTTGATGGATCCATAAATTAGAAATACAGGCAGTCCCCGGGTTACGTACAAGATAGGGACTGTAGGTTTGTTCTTAAGTTGAATCTGTATGTAAGTCGGAACTGGCGTCCAGATTCAGCCGCTGCTGAAACTGACCGCCAGTT